CCGGTGCTTTAGACAAAAAAAAATCCAAATTGTTTATATAAATAGAAAAAATAGATTTAATAGAATCACTGAAAATTAAGATTATATTAGTCGGTTATTGGCAGTGGAAGGGGAGCAAGTCTATCATCCAGATAATGCTCAAAGAATTTCAAAATAAAATTATTTCAATACGTTATTCAGTTGCTTCAAATCTAGACATCTTCCTAGAATTTTTACAAAACAAATGAAGCTTAAATAATTAATAAAAAGATGTTGCTTTGAGAAAGAACACTTGAATGTGTGGTCTCTAATTGTTCAAATGCGTCTTACAAATATGAAACATATCAAATTTTAGTTAAGCAGTTATCATTCATCTTCTTTGATTCCAAATAATAATAAACACTCTAATATTAAAACTTTCATTGCTAAATAAGATCTGCTGAAATTGATGAGCACTTGTAACACGGGGCCAACACATGCTTATAAAATATTAATACTTACCATAGTCACTTCTTAAATGTACATCCAATCATACTTTCAAGTTGATGCACATATAAAAGTCTTTATCGCCTTTCGCATATGTTGTATGCTTCAAGTTGTTTCAAGTTGTAATAATTAAACAAAAAAAGTTGGTTCAACTTGATAGGCGGACACAAAAATAGAAAAAAAAAATAAGGATCTTTTTATTCTAAGGGTCCCACTTAACCCTCTGTCAGTCGCGCGCCAAACGGGGGTGATTAAACTAGCACCCCCCATACTGCCCAACTCGCGCGACTATGCTGTTAAGACAGAGGGTTAAAATAAGTCGTACAAAGGTTAGTACGCCTAAGCGCTATGGAGAGTTGAAGCTGTGGTGATGATAGTAGGCTAGTGGTAGTATATTATCATCCCTGGTCGAGTGCATCGCAATGATCTTTTCCTACTAACTACCAAGGTATTCGATATTGTATAAGCATAACAATAAAAGAAAATATTTAAATATTACCAAGATAAATTAGAACCTAATTAATTATCAAAATTTGAATATATAGTTTTAAAGCCAGTCGGCTAGCGTTGTACCAGTTCTTAAAATTAATAATAATTTAAATACAGTCAACCATAATTAGTGGTTTGTCTATCACAAAAAAATATAAAAACTGATTTAAATATTCTAATGTATCAAAAAATATAACAAAATGTTAATTAAGAAATAATGAGAGTTGACGGTATGAGGGAGTTATTGTGAGGTTTTCAGTATTTATTTATTCATTAGTTTTGACTTAAAATATGGTTTAGTGTATTAAAATAATATTGACTTAGAATTCCCAAAATGTTTTCTTCTGACTTCTTTCCACATTGCACATAATCTATTTTTTCAACATATTTACTAAGACCTAAATAAAAATAAAAATATTATTATACTTAAATTTTTTGTATACTTTTTCAAAATGTATGCTAATCACTGTTTGAAAAACAATATTATTTTAATTCAAACATTAAACCATTTAAGTCAAAAATAACTTTAACGTTAAAGAACCCATAGAACTCTTTCACTTTAATGTTTTGTATCCATAATAACTTTCATTCAATTAACACACTATTTTATTGTACTAAGGGAAAGTCGATAGAACTCTGATCATATTTTTTCCATAATTAAGCATAAAATAGCATAAAGCTATGAGTTTAGGTTAGTATACTTTAATACTGCAGATATTATAGACTGCGGTTTTCAACATTTGTTTTTAATGCACATTTTTTTATTAATTTTTCTTTATTTGATTCTTACAATTCATATGCCCGCGGGCGCCCATGCCTCCCTTCAAATTTTTTTTTCAATTATTTAAATATAGTTGAATTTTTTAAACCCATTTTTAAAATTTTGTAGCAAGTTAGTACCTTATAAAAATTCATTGTTTCATTGTCTAATTATTGACAATAAAGCTATGAGTTTAGGAATACTGATACTGAAGAATGCAGCCTTTATTATTGGTTTTAAATGTACATTTTTTCACAATTTTTTTTTATTTGATTCTTACAATTTATTTCCCCGCGGGCGCCCATGCCCCCCTTCCCATTTTTATTTTTAAAATTAAATCCTATCAATATTTTTTATAATTTTTTTTATTTTGATCCTTAAAATTCATTTGCCTGCGGGCGCCCATACCCCCCTTCCCATTTTTATTTTAATAAAAATAAATTAATCAAACAAAACTAATCAAGGAAAATTAATCAAAGAAAAGAAGTGAAAGAAAATTAACAAAAGAAAATAAATCAAAGAAAATTAAAGAAAACAAATAAATCAAAGAAAATTAATTAAAGAAAATTAACCAAAGATATTAAAGAAAAAAAATTAAAGAAAAAAATTAAAGAAAAAAAATTTAAAGAAAAAAATTAAAGAAAAAATTAAAGAAAAAAATTAAAGAAAGAAAATAAAGAAAAAATTAAAAAAGAAAATACGAAAATAATAATTAAAATTATAATTATACGGGTACGACATAGCTAATGTTCGTATAATATTTCGCTATAATAAATGTTGGTAGGTACCTATAACGCACCGTTGCGATTTTCATCGACGATAAACAGACGGTTTCCCGGAGTAAAAAATATTTAGTTAAAGATATTTAATTAATTAATTAAATTTAGACTAAAGACGAAAACTAAAATCGATTTCGAATTGTTCATAAATGATAAATATATATATTATTATAATGACATTATTAATATTTGGCAAGGAATAAAGAATAACGAATTAAAGGAATACAAAAAAGTATTCAATAAAATAATATTCAATAGTAAAAAAATGTATTTAAAATACCGTTCAAATACTTCAAAAATAAAAGTATTTTAAAAAGTATTCAATACGGAAAAAAGTATTTGAATACTAATACTCAAATACTTTGCAACACTGATACTGATACAGGTAAATATATCAAAAATGTTCTCATGTATATATTATATTAATATAATATAATTATTTTTATAGATTCACTTGTGCATAATATTGATACTGAAGATATTTTTGCTGACTTGGCTAGTTGGCTGCTAATCATAGATTGTTGGACCGGATGGATACTGCTAACCTACCCAGTTCCCATCCGCGTGTTATAGCAGATTGTTCATTAGCCCGCGGGCGCCCATGCCTCCCTTCCCATTTTTATTTTTAAATTTAAATTCTATCATATTTTTTTATAATTTTTTTTATTTTGATTCTTAAAATTCATTTGCCTGCGGGCGCCCATGCCTCCCTTCCCATTTTTATTTTTAAATTTAAATTCTATCATATTTTTTTATAATTTTTTTTATTTTGATTCTTAAAACTCATTTGCCTGCGGGCGCCCATGCCCCCCTTCCCATTTTTATTTTTAAATTTAAATTCTATCATATTTTTTTATAATTTTTTTTATTTTGATTCTTAAAACTCATTTGCTTGTGGGCGCCCGTGTCTCCCTTCAAATTTTTTTTTCAAGTATTTAACTATAGTTCAATTGTTTAAAACACATTTTTTAAATTTTGATAACAAGTTAGTACCTCATACAAATTCATGGTTTCATTATCTAATTATTGACAATAAAGCCATGAGTTTAGCAATACTGATATTGAAGAATGCAGTCTTTATTATTGGTTTATATGTACATTTTTTCATACATTTTTTTTATTTGATTCTTAAAATTCATTTGCCCACGGTCGCCGATAATCCCCTTCCAATTTTTATTTTTAAATTTCAATTCTATAAAAATTTTTATATATTTTTTTATTTGAATCCTAAAACTCATTTGCCTGCGGGCGCCCATGCACCACTTCCCATTTTTATTTTTAAATTTATATTATATTATATTTTTTTATAATTTTTTTTATTTTGATTCTTAAAATTAATTTGCCTGCGGGCGCCCATGCTTCCCTTCAAATTTTTTTTTCAATTATTTAACTATAGTTCATTTTTTTAAACCCATTTTTTAAATTTTGATAGCAAGTTAGTACCTTATGAAAATTCATTGTTTCATTATCTAATTATTGAAAATAAAGCTACGAGTTTAGGAATACTGATATTGTAGACTGCATTCTTTAAATTTTGTTTTGAATGTACATTTTTTCATAGTATTTTTTTTAATTGATTCTTACAATCCATTTGCCCGCGGGCGCCCATGCCCCCTTCAAATTTTTTTTTCTATAAGTTAACTCTCGTTCTATTTTTTATTCACTTTTTTTAAATGTTGATAACCAGCTGTTTTTTAATGCACATTTTTTCATATTTACTTTTTTTTATTGATTCTCCAAACGCATTTGCCCATTGGCGCGCATGCCCCCTCCCCATTTTTATTTTTAGAATTGAATTCTATCTAACTTTTTGATAAATTTTTTTTTAATTGATTCTTACAATTCATTGGCCTGCTGGTGCCCATGCCCCCCTTCAAATTTATTTTTCTATAATTTAACTCTACTTCAATTTTTTATTTTCATTTTTTAAATGTTGATAACCAGCTGGTTTCTTATAAGTTATAATATTCATTAGCTCATGATATTGATCGGTTTCTATGTATAAAAATATATAAGCACCTAATAGGATGAGTTTTAATGAAAGTAACTTGACCAAATATATGATTGTAAATTCGTAAATTCCTTTTGTTAATATTTAGTTTTATGTTTAAATTTGTTTTTTTTAGAATTCAATTTAATAAATGCTTTTTTTTGGCTAATTTTGGTGACTTAAAATGCCTTTTGAAGGATTTATTTAGCTAAAAATCTGAGCCCTAAAAAATTAATTTTTTTTATACTTCGTTATTTTAATTATTAACACTAAACGGGTAAGAACATAATATGATAATAGTATATTACAAAAAAAAATACACAGGCAATAATTCACATTTCATACATAAAACCATGACAAAAATACAAAATATATATTTTGTCTTGCATAAAACCCTTGCTTATAGCATTTATACTTTATAAGCAACACTTGGTTTTTGACGTTTTTGTGGGCCGAGATAAGACACTCAACAAAAATCACTCATATTATATAGAATAATCGGAATATATCACTGATAAGAAATTACACTATCTATGTTTTGGCCGCGAGTGTCGCGAATTGGCGTATTGTAGTGTTGCAACTTGCATTATTGTCATTTATGGTACCTATTTGATGATTGTATTTTGTCTTATGAGTTCTACGAGTTTTTTAGAGTAATATTGAGTAACTTTTAACTAGGTACCACGAATAAAGATGGTACTTTAATTACTATCATTTACTGTGCTAACTACTTAGTAGTTACTGTAACTAACTAGTAAGTTAATTACTTTTTTTTTGAATAATGCTATTTAAATTCTAGTTTATTAGTGTTGAAACTAAAAAAATTATTTTCAATTGACTACTCATTTGAACAGACGGTTTTTATTTAATTGCTTTTAATTACTATGTAGTATGTTTATTGTTCTTATATTTTATTATTATAATATTTTTTTCTTATAATACTGAATACCTCTATCAATTTAAAGATAGTTAAGATAAAAACAGCTTTGTCCTATATTATTAAAAATATATATACCTACTTTATATTGTTATATAGTTTTAAATCAATAACATTTTTTTAGGTTTATTCATCAAAATGATGTCTTTTAAGAAAGGAAATTTTCGCATTGGAGAAGCTGAATTAAAATGTAAAAAAGCAAATGGATGTGATTATTATGGTAATCCACAGTGGGATGGCTTTTGTTCAAAATGTTATAAAGACATACAAAAACATAGGCGAATGAATGCTTCACCTAAGTATGTAATTGATTTATAAAAACTGTAGAGTAATATCTTATAATTTTTTAGCATAGACAATAGAATTAAGTTCATTTGAGATATATTCTAGAAAAAAATTATTGATTTTATTTGATTCAAATTGTTTAATGTAGGTAAATGATTTTTTTTTCATTTGAATTTGTATTTTAAAATCTAACTTTTAACATTAAATATGTTTCTAACTAGGTATGTCATTCTGGCTCACCTATACTCGGTCTCAAAAGAGAATAATCAGTCAGCCGACCGACTAACTATCTGATGTTAGCATGATCACGTGGTTATCGACTTGCCAATCGCATTATTTACGATGCGTAAAAAGTGATTGTTCTCTTTTAAGACAGAGCATAGTAATTAGCTGGGAATACAAGGGTCGTAAGAATTTATTTATATTATGGCTAAAAGACAATTGTAAGCCCTAACAGGAGCTTTAACAATGACCATCTTTGTGACAAGAGCAACTTAACCTACTAATTTTAACTTGTTCTTTCTAAATGTTTCAGAAAGATACCAATTAACAAGATTAGTGAAAAACAAGATTTAAAAAAAGTTGGGTCAACTGAAAAAAAATCCAAATTGTCATACTTGAAAATGTTTAACACTATAAAATCCAAAGGTTTGCTAAAATAGATATTTATTTGCTCATATGCATACCAAATTTATTAATTTATTGTTTTTCTTACATTTTTTTTATTGAAGATTCACCAGGTTTTTAAGTTTTAAATAGGAAATGCAACTTTTTTTAAAGTATATTTTTAAGTACATACCTACCTATTATTTACAAAGCAATTTATATATGGTCTTTTTTCTGTATTAATATATTTTTTTGCTTATTAATATGATATATATTAACTACTTTCTTAACTCATTCAATGAATATTAATAGAATAATCAAGCTAATACATTAAGTAGAGTAAAACTAGGTATCTGTAATGAAGTAGGTTTTTTCTGATAACTCAAAAGAAACAAACTTATAAAATCACATACATTCTTGATCAATTCTTATTGAAAAAGCAGGAAAGTGGGTAGTTGATCTGCTGTACAGTAGGTGTTGAGTCTACTTCGATATTTAAGAGTAAGTCATTATTATATATGTGTTAAATTTGAATTCAATGATAAATCATTGCCAACGAAAAACGATTCTTAGCAAAGCCACCGTTAGCCTATAATATTACTAAGTATATTTTATGCTATTTTATATTGCAATTAAAGTAATTTATTTTACAATTAGTAAATAGTAATATAGTATGTTGAATCAATTTTTCTGAAAAATTGCATTTCGTAAAAATTATAATAAATAATAAAAGTTTCAAGTAGGTACTCACAAATAATATTTTTAAACTACAACAAAATAACTATAATTGTTATTCTTAGTTAAATATCTATTTTTCACCTCTTGTAGTACTAGCTAGACTCATTTTACTCAATTTACTCGATTCACTCTTAAAGTTGAAAATAGAAAGATTTTATTGTCCCAAAAGTTGATGACAAATGCACATCATTATAAAATCAATACATGTATTGCTCCTCTCAGAATATAAAACCTACTGATGCTATTGATAACTCAGTTATTGACTATGCATTAAGTCATTAAATATGTTATGTGTATGCCTAAATGTAAAGAATACAGTTAATGCAATGTATTATATTATTATATTTTATTTTTAGATGATATATCCGAAAAATCTAAAAAGGATTATGATCCAATTATTACAAAGAAATTGGATCAAGTAGATGTAGAATATTCGCCTATTTTATCTGAAACAAAATCTTTGCGCACAGATTTAAAAAAACAAATTCGCAATTTTTGTCAAATGATGATGATGTCACATTTACAAAGCCCTGTTGATATTCAGTCTGAACTTACTCAACATTTTTATCAAAATATTCTGGACATGCTGAATAATAATTATTCTTATGATGGTATTGTATACAACATTTATTGTTGTTTGTTTTATTATATTTTTAAGTAAGCTCAATGCTTAGGCAAGCCCAATTAGGCCCTGTAAATTACCAATTGAACTTAATAGGCCACATAAAATTTGGACTGACTTAGTAATATACTAATATATGGTCAAAAATATTTAAATTCCCCAACTCTGAACAATGAAATATGAATACCGATTGAAATCCTTAGACTAGATGGGGGCAGATACCTTACCTATCTGATGCTATGCTTATATATTCACTCAGTTTATACTAGATTGCTTACTTTCATATTAAATGGTTAAAAAGATTCATAAGAAATGTAATAATTAGATTACCTTTACACTTTGTAAGTTATCATAACATTTGTCTCTCACTTAATGATACTTTTATTAGTCTTCTACTAAGTTTTTGCCGATCAAAAATATGAAGCAAACATCTCTAATTACACAGAAATGATCAACTTAAGATTTTATCTACATTATTTCAAAAGTTAATTGTAGTCTTATACAATGTGTCTCGTGGGGAAGTGACAGGCCAGTGTCATATGATAGTATACCTAAAGTTATGAACAAAAACTCTTTAAGGCAAATTATGAGTGGTGGTCCTAAAAAAAATGTGATCAAGTCATAAGATATATTGTGCAACATTCTTCTGCTTACTATTACTACACTACTTTCAAATTGTGTCAAATGTATTATTTTACTTTTATATGTTTTAAATACTAATAATTCTAAATGAATATAAAAATATTTTTATTTAATTTATTATTATTTTATTATTATTGTTTTTATTTTACCATGTTCAATTTTTTTTATATTTGTTTTCCAGAATTGAGCCATGAAAAAAAAGAACAAATTTTGGATTACACAGAAAAATACTCTATGATAAAACTATATAAGTTTTTATTTTGTATGACTTTGGCTGACGAAGAGGAAGATTTAGCTATACAGAAACGGTATTTTACTAACTAATAAAACTAAATCCATAATTTAGTAACAAAAATATGTATGTTATTGTGATTAGAATTATGAACAGTAGTTTTTATATAACTCAAGGTAATTTATGTAATTTCTTATAATTCTTACCTGATTTTTGTAATAGATTATCTCTAGTATCATCTCATTAAGGATTAAATACTTTTTTTATCACTTATTATCATAACATGTTTCATTAGTTACTTAATAGCCTCAGATTAATTCATAAACATTTGTAAAATAATAAAAATTCAATAATTTAAAATCTCCTTTTTTTAATAATAACTATAGAGACATATATTATATAATCAAAGTTTAAATAATTCCATTTTAGGATTCGTCAGTTAAATTGGGTGAATGCTAAGCATCTAGACTGTGATATTGACAAAACTAATGCTCAGATTATTGAATTGGTATATAAAGCAATTCTAGAATTGTTAGATATGGATTCAGCTACAGCACCACAAGACAAATTGGCATGTGTTGTTAGATGCTGTCGACATATATTTGGAGTCTTGCAAGGTGGAAACAATGGAATGAAAGGACCTGCATCTGCTGATGATTTCTTGCCTGTTCTCATATTTGTTGTTCTCAAAGCAAATCCTGTTCGACTTAAGTCTAATTTGCACTATGTGACTAGATTTTGTAATGCTTCAAGACTGATGTCTGGAGAAGCTGGATATTATTTTACCAATCTGGTAGTTAAATGTTAATATTTTACATTTTAGAATAGTGTATATTTGTTACAATTCACTAGTATTAAAGACATCAATATTTAAAAAACTCAATCAATTATACTAATAATATTAGTATTATGTATTGTAATAATTTCTTACTTCACAAGTTTTTTTAAATATTTTTTGCAGTGCTGTGCCGTATCCTTTATTGAAAATATTAATGCAGAACTTCTTAGTATGAATATTGAAGAATTTGAGCAGTACATGAATGGAACGATAGTATCTGATACCTGGGATTCTGCATTAATTATATGTGAAGTAAGTACAATATTTTAGTGTTATGTGGATCATTAGTGACCTATGTGCATGTCCAATGCCTAACAAATCTAAATAAGGAAGAATAATAATTAAATTTCAAATATTAAATTATTATTTTTCTAATTCCTAAAGATATTTATGGATATTATGTTTTAAAGTTTTTAAACATGTTATTTTCAATCATACTTGTTTTCCATATTCTGATTAAGTACAGACTGTTGTCAAAACAATGAACCATGTGTTTTTATGTTTTATACTGTACTTGAATAGTGATTATGTTATTATTTAATTTGTAATTTACGTACCTTAAACCATACTGTTAAATTCCAAGTTTGTTCTGTTTTCGTCATATTATTAAAAAATAGAAATAAGTTTTACTGAACAATTAAAATACCAGTTGAATAAAATAAAATGTAAACAATTATGTATTATTAAACACACAATAACTAATTGCTTAATATTATTCATATTTCTGTTGAATTATATTTTTGAATGTATGCTACTTTACTAAAAACACATGGCTGATGTAATTTATAATTATTTTTACATTTTAAACTTCTATAATATGAATTAATTTAGGGGATGCATCAAATGTTTGAACAGTTGGCATTGTTAGCAGATTTAAAAAGAAGAAATATTATGATTGTTGATGATGCATTAAAGCTTAAAAACGAAATGTCTAATTTTAAGGTACTCATCTATTTATGCATTTAATAAACTTAACATGGAATATTTAATACATATTAAGAACTATAAAAATTATGTAAAAATTATATTTTTCAAAAATACAATTATTAAATAAATAATTATTTAAGATCCAACATAATTTTTAAATTTCTATAGGATAATTTTATGGATCAATTTGCAGTATTAAAAGAAGTGTATACTATTACTGATGATTGCGATGAAACAAATAATAAAGTGGCAATTAGTATTGATGATTATGACCCTGTATGTTCCAGTTTACCCTCGTGGACTATGACACCACAGGTTAGTTTCTCACATTTATAATGATTACTATTTTTAACACTTCTCATAAATAGTCTGAACAAATGAAATGCATGTAGAATAATATTGTGTAGGTTATTCAACCTGCAGAAAGAACTCGTACAAGTTCTTCCTGTACAGATGTCGATTCTTGGGATATCCATTCTGCTGAAACAGTATCATTACATTCATTAGATGCTTGTTTTAATACACCGCAAGAAAATAATGAAATTGCCGGAAGTAGTTTAGAACCTACAATAAATGTACAACCACAGTTAGATGAAATACAGGTGTGAATTTGTGATTATAAGCTAACAACCAATTGTAATAAAATAAGTAACAATACAATAATGAAAATAGTCTTTAAAATTCAGTATATGATTGTTAAAAATGTAGAAACAATGTGAAATTATCTTAAACCAAAATCATTTGATTATTATATATGCATGATTTAATTAAAGCTTTACGACAACTTACATTTTAAATAGTACATCATTTGTTTTGTGTCAAAGTAATTTATTTTAAATAAATGTATTTTGTAAACTACATTTAATCTTTCAATAATTCCATTGAATGCTTATAGTTTTTATTTTAAAACAATTTTTCTAGGAAATATCTATTCAAGGATGGCAAATACCTAGTATACCATGTGAAACTGGAGGAAAAGAAATTACCAACTCAAAAATGAATACGCAATAAATATAATTGTTTTATTTAATTTATAACATTTTGTTAATAATATTACCTGTTTATCTATTTTTAATATTATATTCATTATTATATTATGTTAACTGTCTCAGTTTATTACATGTTAAAAGAATTTTTAATGTACCCCTTATAGATTATGTATAAATATAAATAGTTCTTCTGTATGAAGTTTAGTGTTTACTATTGGTAATTTAACACTAAATATGCAATTATTAAATTAAATAGCACTATCTAATGGTAGTGTATACTCTGATTGGATTTTTGTCTCGATTGATGTTTTAAAACGTTTTGTAGTTCCAATTTGCTGGATATATGGACAAGCCACTAATTTCATCTAAAATAAAAATTAGAGATATTTGGTTGGTAGTGTAAAATAATACATATTTAAATTGTAAGTAACTTATAAAAACTTATATTTGAACTAGTGTCAATGGACATAATTAAATCAATGAAGGTCAATGCAGTTTCAATCAAGCTTTACTGTCCATAAATAATTTTTTATCTACATTTCACTTATTGAATTTTGTATGTATAATCTTAATAGACCAAAAAAAATAATAACTTAAAAATATTGATCTTACTTAATATTATGTTTAGCTAGTATGCCAAGTAACAAAAACAAAACATAAATTTGTATTACCTGTAAATCAATTGTTTCTGTAAATTTTCTTATTGGAGATTCTAAGTTAAAATTTAGTTCAGTAGTATATTTAACAGGGACTATTCGTGGTTCCATCCAAAATGTTGATTGATACCTATAATTAATTACTATTTAATAGGTAATTCAATAATTCTATTCAATAATAGTCTATTTTTCATTTGAAGTTGAAATATCAATGATAAAATATTCCTAAATCATCTTTTTTTATTAATTTCTGAGATTAAACAAATTCGTAAAAATTATTTATAAAAAAATAAGAAGTACATAAGTAAGATATGGGCATACTTAAATGTTGTTTGTAGTACTATGTTTAAAAAAATTATCAACTGGTACAACATTTGCACACAGCCTTATAAAAATGCAAAACTATTAGATCGATTAAATTCTTTTAATAATTTATGAATAAATATTAATGGAAAAAGTACCTATTGGATTTATAAAGAAAAAAATAAACACTAGCGAAAAAAAAGCCCAAGGAAATATATGTCCATGCAAGTGCCATTCGACTGTATTGTTGTATATTTTTTTAAATATTTCATTGATTTTAATTTGAAAAAGTATAATACAATAATATTACTTAATATAGATAACAGAATAACATATGATAATCATAAATTCATAAATATTAAATAATGTAATGACTAGGGCTAGGATTTATATGCATTAGGATGTATTTTTTTGTAAATCATTACTTTTGTTAATAATGTATTAATGTCCACGAATTAGCTCATGAAGAAGTAAATATTGGTATAATTTTTGCATACCTATTTTGGATAAAATGTATATTTTTGCATATTTTGAAAAAAATGAAAAATATTGTTGCATATTTTAACTACAAAAACTCGAATAATGCATGTTTTATGATATATTTCGTTACAATCCATTTCATCGCTGTACAAAAAAATTAAAAGTAATTTAATATTTCTTATCTTATAAGAAATTTCGCAAATTCGTAAGCTGAAGGTTGCCGAAAAAATTGACAGCAAATTAAATAGGTATATGTTAGAAAAAAATACCTGACTAAAATCTGTGTTCACGACACCTACGCAACATTTTAAATGCCAACAATCTAGATAAAGATTTCCCAAATATAACTCCTGGAGAAGTAACAAAATTTAAATGTGCAAAAATTACTTCGTGTGATGTCGAGCGAAGTTCTAGCAAGTATAAGAATTTATAAAGGTCAAACAGAGATCGTTTACTTTTGAAAATTTAAAGCACCATGTTATTGTTACATGAAATTAATTTGAATAGGTAGCTTAAATAAATTTAAAGATAACAAATAAGTTTATAGATCTTGGAATTTTCTTAATGTTTTTGTGTTAAGTGTTCATATTTTAATGGCTTATTTTAACATATTTATTTAGAGTAATTTGAGAAGAGTGTATAGAAAATATTTTTATTTAATAATATTGATGTGGTATATTTTAGCATATTTTTATTGTATAATTTTAAAAGAATAAATACATATTTCATAATATTTTATTGCATATAAATCCTATCCCTAACATGACTAATGGCCTATAGTAAAAGTTTACAGAAGCCGATGTTACTAAGATCAAAAAAAAAATTAATAATAATAGTAGGTCCATTGGCGCGTATCTATTCCCTTGTTTTGAACTTGGGCAACAAACTAATATTATAGGTCCTCCCGTCTATTTTGTATTGATTTATTATATTAATATTTTTATGGGAGATGAGGTGACCGAGTGGTCTGACGCGTCCGCTGCGACGCAGCCGGTCGCGGTTCGATCCTCGGCTACCGGGCGGCATTTTTCTCCGGACAAGTCGCGGTGACCGGAGAACAAGTGCTGCCATCCCCCACCCCCGGGGCATGGCAGAAACCTACGGGTGCCCCATTC